TTTTTTGATTTATTGTAGAGATGAGGTCTCGCCAAGTTGCCCAGGCTGGTCTCAAACCCGATGAATCAGGTAATCCTCTCACCTCGGCCTCCCAAAGTGCTGGGATTAGAGGTGTGAGTCAGCATGCCTGGCAAGAGGTTTTTAATATCTGAAGAAAGCACTAGCAAACAGAAAGATAAGTCAGGAAAAAAAATGAGTGAACTTTTAAAGAAATAAAATGATACACAAAAGCCACAGAAGTGTGAGAAACAGTGAAAAGAACTGACATCCATGTAAACAGAGACCCAGAAGGAGAGGAGAATGGGACAAAAACCATAACTGAAAAGATAACAGCCATGAACATTGAAAAACTGGTAAAAGTTATCAAGTTATAGATGAGTAAAGCACTAGAACCCAATGAAGAAATAAGTACAAAGAAAACTACACATATTGTAAAATCTATAAAAATCAACAAAAAGAAATCTCAAAAACAGAGAAAAGATACATTAAGATCAATATTAAGATTTTAGATAACTCCTCAGCAGAAAAAATGGAAACCAAAATGCAATGTTATACAATCTTCCAAGTAATAAATTAACTGCTGATCTAGAAATCCATTTCCAGAGCAAATGTCCTTAAAAAACAGAGGCAAAATACATTATCATATAGGTAATAACTAAGATAATTTATCACCAGCAGAACTTACTTAAAATATACTATAAATGTGCTTCTTATCAATAAGGAAAGTTATCCTAGAAAAAAGCAAAGACATGCAGTAAAGAAGGAGAAGCAACATAAAAGGTCAAAATACAAGGGGAACTCTAAATGAAGATGAACTATACATTATATAATATCTTGTGAGTTTAAAATATATTGCAATATTAACAATCACCCATGTACCCACCATCCAATATCTTTAAGCCTTGTCCCTGTGTCTCTCCTGCCTCCCCTCCAAAGATAACTACTATTTTGATTTTCAAGTTTATCATTTCTTTATTCTGCTTCATATTTTTATCATACATACATATTCTTCCAAATAATGCAATTTTTAGGCCAAACATGGTGGCCCACGCCTCCAATCCCAGCACTTTGGGAGGCCAAGATGGGAGGACTACTTGAGTCCAGGATTTCAAGACCAGCCTGGGCAACATAGTGATACTTCGTCTCTACAAAAAAACTAAAAAATTTGCTGGATGTGGTAGCATGTGTCTGTAGCCCTAGCTTCTCAGAAGGCTGAGATGGAAGGATCACTTTAGCCCAGGATGTTGAGGCTGCAATGAGCCGTGATCATGCCACTGCCCTCCAGCCTGGGTGACAAAGTGAAATTCTGCCTCAAAAAAAATGTCTTATTTAGCTTTGCTTGTTTTTCAATATATATAAGTGGAATCAATGTGTATACATCTTATATACAGCTTGTAATTTTTCTTAGTGTTATGTTTTATGAATTTAGTAAAAATATCCTTCAGGAATAATGTGAAATAAACATATCTTCAGATGATAGAAAACTAAGAGGACTTATCACCAGCAAAACTGCTCAGAAAGAAATGCTGAAGAGAAATGATACCAGAGAGAAACTCAAAACTGAAGGAAGAACAACAGGAATGATAAGTATCTGGCTAAATACAAAAGAATATTTTTCTCCTTTTATATGTAAAGTGGGTTTCTTACAGACAGTATATAGTTTGGTCTTGTATTTTTAAAAAATACAATCTGATAATCTATCATACTTATGAAAATATTAACTGTTGTAGTAAAAATAGGATTATGTGGAAGAGACCTAAATGTATGTAGATGTGCATGAGAGGGACACACAAAAAAATCCAGAATTATCTTTAAGAGTTCAGGTTCCTTAGTAAAGGTTTCCCATGCTAGGTAAATGTTCTAGGAAACCACTGGCATCAGTGTAACAACTAGCATTGTAGTGAGGGGCTGCATTCAGCTTCAGTGAATTTTTTTTTTTTGGAGATTCTTCCAACGCATTTGCCCATTTCATGATGGGTGATTTATGGGTGCAACTGGCCATACTGTATTGAGTGTTTAGCAGTTTTTGACCAAAAATGACACAAACCCCATTCCCCACCCTTCTTATTCACCTGATCTCGTCCTGAGTGACTTTTTTTTTTTGTTTCCCTGGATGGAAAAACGTCCTCAAAGGGAAACGTTTTGCTGATGTGAAAGAGGTGAAACAAAAAACTGCAGAAGCAATAAAAGGCATCAAAATTGAAGAGTTTAAGAACTGTTTTGAGCAGTGGAAAAAGCATCTCAACATATATACTGCATCAAATGGAGAGTACTTTGAATGTAATGAAGTTTAAATATGTAAGAATACACAATTTTATATATAAATTCCATTTTGGGGGTTCTCCTCGTATATGATAACTGCAATACAGAGGAAAAGAGTTAGCAGACTATAATGGTATAAGGTTTTAACATTTCATTTGAAGTGGTAAATTATTAACTCCAAGGGGGCTGTGAAATAATTGGTATGTGTATTATGTATATTATAATTCCTAGAGTGAGCATGAGAGAGCACCAAGTACAACATAAAAATTAAAACTAAAATCTAAAATTTTTAAAAATAATTCAAAAGAAAGCAGAAGAGGGAGAAATAAATAACAAAACCCAAAAATGCAAAGAAAAAAAAAGCCAGGTACAGTGATTCATGCCTGTAATTCCAGCACTTTGGGAGGCCAAGGCAAGAGAATTGCCTGAGCCCAGGAGTTCAAGACCATCCTGGGCAACACAGCAAGACTTTGCCACTATAAAAATTTTTTCTTAATTAGCCAGCCTAGCCGGGCTCGGTGGCTCAGTCTGTAATCCCGCGCCTTTGGGAGGCTGAGGTGAGTGGATTGTCTGAGCCCGCGGGTTCGAGACCCGCCTGGGCAGCGAGACCACATCTCTACAATAAATCAAAAAATCAGCCGGGCGTGGTAGCGTGCGCTTGTAATTTCGGCTACTCGGAAGGCTGAGGCGGAAGGATCGCCGGAGCCCAGCGGGTCGAGGCTGCGGTGGCCGGGAGCGGCCACTGCACTCCAGTCTGGGCAACAGAGTGAGACTCCAACTCAAAAAAAAAAAACAAAAAAAAAATTAGCCAGCCTTGGCAGTACATGCTTGTAGTCCCAGCTATTCAGGAGGCTGAGGCAGAAAGGCCTGAGCCCAGGAGGTCGAGACTGTGGTGAGCCATGGTTGTGCCACTGCACTCTGGCCTGGGTTTAAGACCCCAACTCAAAAAACAACAAAAACAAACAACAAGAAGTTTCTATACAACAACAAAAAACAAAGAAAAAAAAGAGGGGACAAACAGCCAACGAATAATAAAATAGTAGATGTGACTCAAGCCAAAACAATAATTATATTAAGTTTAAATGGTATAAACACACCAATTAAATGACAGAGATTATTATATTGGATTAAAATAAAAATACAAATCCAACAATATACTGTTAACAGATCATGACTTTAAATATATACTATAACAAATAGAACATAATATATAATAGAATAGAATGAAAATAAAAGGATGGAAACATACCCCAAACATACTCATACCATCGAAACACTAATCAAGAGAAACCTGGAATGTCTATATTAAAATCAGATAAAACAGACTAGAAAAGAAGAAATAAAGACAGTGATAAAAGACAAATTACATAATGATAAGACAGTCAATTCTCAAAGAAGAGATAATAATCCTAAATGTATATGCACCTAACAACAGATCTTCAAAATACATGAAGCCAAAACTGATAATACTGAAAGGAAACAGACAAATCCACAACGATACTTGGAGACTTCAATGCTTTTCCTCTCAATAATAAATAGAACAAGTAGAACAGAAAATAAGCAAGGATATAAAAGACTTGAACTGTCAACCACCTTGACCTAACTGACATTTACAGAACACTCCATCCAACTAGAGCAGAACACATGCTCTTTTAGTGCACATGGAACATTCACTAAGATAGACCACATCTGGGTCATGGAACAAATCTTAGCAAGTTTCTAAAAAATGAAGTCATACAAAGTATGTTCTGACCATGACAGAATTGCTGAAAAATCCCCCAAATATTTGGACACATATGAGTCAAAGATAAAGGAAATTTTCAAAGAAAATAAGAAAATATTTTCATAAAATAAAAACATGACATAGCAAAATCTGTGGAATTCAGCTAATGTAGTATGTATGGAGATATGACAATATTAAATTTTTTTTTAATCTTTCAAATCAAAGATAACTTTTCACCTTAAGAAATTAGAAAAAGAAGAGCAAAATCAAAGTAGAGCATAAATCAAAGAAATTGAAAAGAGAAATAGAGAAAACCAATAAAGCCAAAAGCTTCCTTTTTGAAAATATTAACAAAATCGATAAACTCTAGTTCATCTGTCCAAGTAAAATAGAGAGAAAATATAATTTGTCAATATCAGGAATAAAAGAGGTGACATCATTATAGATCCTACATTAAAAGGAAAATAAAGAAATCTTACAAACAATGTTTGCACATAAATCAGACAACTTAAGTGAAATAATTATTTGAAAGGCACAGACACTCAAAGTTTGTTCAGGAAGAAACACACAAAAAAGATATCATTATTTACCTTATTATATGTTTGATTTGTAGTAAGATACTACTTTCCAGGGTAATGTTCAAAGCACTTGTTAGGTACTGATTGAATTCCTCAAAGAACATTTCATTTCCTTCTTCATACTTTCCATAGTTCTTTGAGTACTCTTTTTGAATGCAGTGATTGGTCAAATGGCAGGTTTTGTCTTGGAAATTATCAACATGATATGGTTCTGACGCAGTTCGAAGCACACCCTCTCTATAGAGGTAGATATTATACTGATGATCCACCAAGACCCAGCTTCTGCAATTCAATAAAAACACTATTTTACTTGAGTCATCCAAAGTTTCTAAACATTATATATATCAGTCCCCACATCTTGATTTATTTTGGAGTATGTGGGGGAGCATTAGGGAAGGAGGTAGGTTCTGAAATTATATGAGGCAAACCATGGTTTAGCTGAGATAGTGGGTTATCACTTCAGTAAGGCAAGCAAATATTGCATCATTAAAAAAGTAGATTTTGATCTATTCAAAAGATACAGGTTTTTGGGGGTTTTTTGAGTAGGAGTCTCACTCTGTCACCCAGGCTGAAGTGCAGTGGCATGCTCATGGCCACCGCTGCCTCAACCACGTGGGTTCAGGAGATCCTTCCTCCTCAGCCTTCCAGGTAGCTGGAACCACAGGTGCACACTGCCACGCCTGGTTAATTTTTTGATTTATTGTAGAGATGAGGTCTCACCAAGTTGCCCAGGTTGGTCTTGAACCTGTGGGCTCAGACAATTCTCTTGCCTCAGCCTCCCAAAGTGCTGGGATTACAGGCATAAGCCACCATGCCCAGACTAAGATATAGCATTTTGAAAAGATTTAGATGGGCTTTTTTTTTTTTTTAGTTGGAATCTCACTCTGTCACCCAGGCTGGAGTGCAGTGGCATTTTTATGACCACTACAGCCTTGACCTGCTGGGCTCAGGTGATCCTTCCACCTCAGCCTTCTAAGTAGCTGGAACCACAGACATGCACCACCACGCCTGGCTAATTTTTTGATTTACTGTAGAGACAAGGTCTCACCATGTTGCTCTGGCTGGTCGAAACCCTGAGCTCAGGTAATCCTCTCACCTCTGCCTCCCAAAGTGCTGGGATTCAGGCGTGAGCTACCACGCCTGGCTTTGGGTTTGTTTTTAACCTAAGAAACCTCCATTTGCCCTGTTTTCTCTTTTAGTAATCCTAAGAGTATGAGTGTTCACCTTGAAGATGATCTGACATAGGAGTGATGTTCAAGAAGCAGCAAGTCATTGTGAAGCAATCAAAGAGACAAAGAGTTTTCCATGAGATGACAGCAAGGCTACAGGTAAATTAAGGAGACAGGGCATTTAGCTTTAGAAAGCACCACACAGCCTCTTTCTCCATACCAAGTCCTTTGCTCAGAAATTAAAATCCAAAAACCTGAGGTGTATTCATGAAATCCATAAAGAGTGAGACACAAATAAGTGGGGACAAAATATTTAGCAGGGTCACACACTCTGCTGTGTCTGAATTGTGTGTGTTCTATGGACATCTCTCTCTTATTGCATAAACAAGCCCCATATATTTATATTCTTCTCTTTAAATCCAAAAATCATTCTCATAAAAGAATTTTTTTAAAGAAAAATCCATAATCTTAGTGACATTTTCTAGACAGAAAAATGAAATATTGAAAGCAAAACAGAAAATTAGGTACAAAAGCTCAGTTCCATTCAGCTGCACTCAATTTTGGTAATATGCCAAACATGGCCAAACACTTCCTCATATCCCGTGTCCCCCTCCTCACCATACACCATAACATTTTTTTTCAAGTGAATAAAAACAAAAGCTATGGACACCAACTCATTACCGAATGTCAAACTTGCGATGACCTGGCTCAAGAAGCAGAGGGTGCTCAAGATATTTCTGGATCACGTGTACCTGGCCCTGGTTGTCTATAAAATCAAGAAGCTCTGAAGCCTCCGAGGAGATGAGAATGCCTTCACCTAACAGGGCAAGAGGAAATAGAAATGAGTCCAGTTCAAACCATGAGGAAAAGCTCTCTGTAAGACCAGATGGGAAATACTGACAGAAAAACAAGCAAACAAACAAACCTGGAGGCTTTTATTGTCCTACTCACTGTTTTATTTCTCCCTCCTTTCCCTCCTCCGATCTCTTACATTTTCCCCTCTCCTCACAAGAGCACACAGAGTTATCCAACTAACGCGTTCTCTGCATGGGACTGTCAATACTATTTTGGCAGGCTACCACCATAAAACTTCAATTTTACAGATATTCAAAGTGTCTGAGCACTCTTAAAAAACACCACTACCACTGGTCACTGGCTATCATAATAAAGACAACCTATGACTAGCAAATCCATTCCCAACACTATGTCTCATAGAAACACCAGGAAGGTTAAGGCATGGAGACAAATGTGCAATTATGTTCCCTACAGCACTGTAATGGAAAAACTGGATACATTTAACATTAATATTACATAAATGATATCATCCTTTCATTAACAGCTTAATTGAGATGCAACTTATATACCATAAAATTCACCCTTTTAAAGCACATAATTCAGTAGTTTTTTTTAGTATATTCAGAAGTTTTGCAACCATCTCTACGTCTAATTTTAGAATATTTTCATCACTGCCCCAAAAAAACTCTGTACCATTAGCTGTCACTCCCAATTCCATCCTCATTCCAGCCCCTGACAACCACAAATCTACTTTGTCTCTATTTTATAAAGTTGCCTCCAGGCTTTTCATATCAATGGAGTCACACAGTACAGGCCTTTGGTGTCTGGCTAAATTCACATAGCACGAAGTTTTCAAGATTCATCCATTTTGTGGCATGTATCAGTACTTCATTCCTTTCTAAGGCAGAAGATAATTTCATTGTATAGATATACCACATTTTGTTCATTCATTCATCATGATGGATTGTTTTCCATTTGGATTGTTTCCACTGTCGTCTGACTCTTATGAATAATGCTGCTATAAGATTTGCATATACGTTTTTGTGGACAGGTATTTTCAATTCCTTTGGGGATACAAGAGGAGACCCAAGAAAACCCAGAATTTATTAAAATGTGTATTTATTCTTACATGTTTACACTTCAGTAACCTTCAAAGTACTCTCCGTTTAATGCAATACACCTATCAAGGGATCCTCCCACTTCAACTCCCTGAGTAGCTGGGACTAAAGGCACACATCACCACAGTCAACTAATTTTTTAATTTTTTTGTAGATATGAGATCTCACTATGTTGCCCAGGCTGGTCTCAAACTCCTGGGCTCAAGTTTTTGAATTTGTCAATTTTGATGCCCTTTACTGCTACTATTTTTTGTTTTACCTCTTTCACATCAGCAAAACATTTTTCCCTTTGAGAACTTTTTTCATCCTGGGAAACAAAAAAAAAGTTGCTTGGGGCAAGATTGGGTGAATAGGGAGGGTGGAGCATGGGAGTCATGTTGTTTTGGGCCAAAAACTGCTGAACACTCAGCATGGTGTGGATAGGCACGTAGTCATGGTGGAAGAATCAGTCACCCTCTTGCTTCACCTCTACAACTCAGGATGTTTCTTCTGCAAACCGTGATACAACCTTCTTAAAACTTCTAGATGAAAAACTTTGGTTGACCATTTAATCCAGAGGAACAAATTCCAAGTGTACTACAAGGGATTTGCCCTTCAAAAGATAATTCCAGTTTTTTGGGATCCCCCTGGTATACCTAGGAGCAATAGCTAAATCATATGGTAACTCTATGTTTAACTTTTTAAGGAACTATCAAACTATCTTCTACTGGCTGCACCATTTTACATTCCCACCAGCAATGCTCAAGAGTTCCAATTCCTTTTTACATTTTTTTTTTGGTTTTGCTTTTTGTTTGTTTGTTTTTTGAGTCAGGGTCTCACTCTATCACCCAGGCTGGAGTGCAGCAGCATGAGCAGAGCTTACTGCAGCCTGATCTCCTGGGCTCAAGAGATCCTCCCACTTCAACTCCCTGAGTAGCTGGGACTAAAGGCACACATCACCACAGTCGACTAATTTTTTACTTTTTTTGTAGACATGAGATCTCGCTATGTTGCCCAGGCTGGTCTCAAACTCCTGGGCTCAAGCAGTCCTCCTGCCTCAGCCCCCTAAAGTGCTGGGATCACGGGGTGACCCATTGTGCCCATCAAGGGTTCCAATTTATCACATCCTCACAAACATTTCTCATCAGTCTTCTTGATTATAGCCATTCTTATGGGTATGAAGCAGTATGTGGTTTCAACTTGCACTAGCTAAATAATAACGTTGAACATGTTTTCAGGTGCTTACTGCCTATCTGTCTATCTTTTCTGAAGAAATGTCTGTAACTTCTTTCACAACCATTTTATAATGTTCAGCATACAGAGCCTGTACATGTCTTATTAAGTTTATAACTAAGCATCTCATTTTCTCTGGGACGTTTGTGGTATTGTGTTTTCAATTTTGGTTTTCAAATGTTCGTTGCTGGTATATAAAAATGTAACTGTCCAGGTACAGTATCTCACACTTATGATCCCAACAATTTAGGAAGCTAAGGTGGGAGGAATGCTTGAGGCCAGGAGTTTGGGACCAGCCTGGGCAACATAGGGAAACTATGTCTCTACAAAAAAATTTCTTAAAAAATAGCCCAGCTGGGAGTGGTGCATGCCTGTGGTCTTGGCTATATGAGAGGTTAGGGTGGGAGGACTGCTTGAGCCCAGGAGTTTGAGGTTGCAGTGAGCTACGATTAAGCCACTGCACTTCAGGGTGACAGAGTGAGGCTTTGTCTCTTAAAAAAAAAATGCAATTGCTTTTTGTGTGTGGAGCTCATGTTCTGTAACACTGTTGAACTCAATTTTCAGCTCCAGGACCTTCTCACCTATGCTTTAGATTTACAGTTTATCTCCACTTGGGTCTCAAACTTTCAGTATAAATGAATTCAATTTAGTTCATTAATTTAGTAATCCATCTTTCCTAAAAGTCAACCCTCTGCTCAAGTAACCCGTTTCTGTCACTTTTTCCACCATCTGGTTAGCTTCCTGAGCAAGAAGCTGCGCGTCAACTTGGAAACGTCCCCTTCTTCTCTTCTCATACACACATGACTCATCCCTTTTCATCTCTCTTAGGAACCACACTCAGATTTTCTGGTTCTTCTTCATCTCCACTTGCCAATTCTTAAGTTCAGACTGTAATCTCTCTTTCTCTATAGCACCTTGCATAGTACTTCTAGAATCATCATCCTAAAATACCACTTTCCTGCTCATGTCCTGACACCATCTCTATCACCTACTAATGCCTTGCTCTACACAGTCTGCCTCCTTCCCCCCCATATGCTCCATCTCTATTTTCCTTATTCATTTTCTTAGGTAAGTTACTTATTTAAAATTAATATACCTAATGTCAATTGGTTGGAAAAATAATGAAATAAATTTTTGTGATTTTTAAAAACTATCATCATTTTAAAAACATGACATTAAAGGGAAATGAAAAAATCACTCATAGTCTTATTTCCTAACATAATTAATTTTTTTCATATTACCTTTCTTTTTTTTTTTGAGTTGGAGTCTCACTGTGTCGCCCAGACTGGAGTGCAATGGCCGCTCCCGGCCACCGCAGCCTCGACCTGCTGTGCTCTGGCGATCCTTCCGCCTCAGTCTTCCAAGTAGCTGGAACTACAGGCGTGTTCTACCACACCCGGCTAATTTTTTGATTTATTGTAGAGATGAGGTCTCACCAAGTTGCCCAGGTGGGTCGCGAACCCCCGGGCTCAGGCAATCCACTCACCTCAGCCTCCCAAAGTGCTAGGATTACGGACTGAGCCACCGAACCTGGCCTACCTTTCTTCACATACGGGCAAAGCCTGGTTCAGTCACAGGAACTCATTTTTTAATTTCATATTCTCTCTCTCTCTCTCTCTGTGTGTGTGCGTGTGTGTGTGTGTGTGTGTGTATTTTTTTGTTTTGAGTTGGCGCCTCACTCACTCTGTGGCCCAGGCTGGAGTGCAGTGGTATGCTCATGGCTACTGGAGCCTCTACCTGCTGGGCTCAGGAGATCCTTCTGTTTCAGCCTTTGAAGAAGCTGGAAGCACAGGCATGCACCACCATGCCCGGCTAATTTTTTAAATTTATTGTAGAGACACAGTCTCACCAGGTTGCCCAGGCTGGTCTCAAACCCCTGGACTCAGGCAATCCTCTCGCCTCCACTTCCCAAAGTGCTGGGATTACAGGCATGAGCCACTGCGCCCGGCCTTACATTGTCAATATTTTTACTGTTCCTACATAACAGTAAAATTCTTAAGTTAGTGGCTGAAAAAATTCCATTGTGTAGATGTTTAAAAAAATTACACATTTGTTTATTGATTGCCAGACAGGGAGGTTGTTTCTAGATAATATTTTGCTATTACAGATAACACAGTAGTAAATGTCTTTGCTGTAGACCACTCTTGTTTCTTTTTAAATATATCTTTGGAGTAAATTTTCAAAAATGAGATTACCAGGCCAAGTGATACAAACCCCTCATGGCTCTTGGTCTGTATCATACTATTGCTTTTTAAAGGGCTGTGAACTATCACTCACAGGGAGCAGTTCACCATTAACTTGCAGCAATGGTATCACCAAAAGTTTTTGTCTTTTTATTTTGTAGGCATAAAATCATACATAAAATTCAATTTTATTTTATAAGTTTTAGATATCGGTGTAGTAGGCTTCCATGTGTTTGTTAACTGTATTTCTTACATCACTTATTTGTTCATATCCTCACTAACTAAACATGAAAAAATATGAAGGCACTTCTGAGATCTTTAAGGAACTTCAAGGTCTTTATTTATTCTTTGTTCCCATCTCAATTTTCAGCTTGTCTGTAATAGATGCAACAGTAGCCTTATTCCCTACTAGACTGTGGGTCCACGAAGGCAAGAGATCACATCTGTCGTACTTATTCTTGGATCTCCAAACACTCATTACATACACGGAACCTCTGTTGGGGGCCAGGTACTGTCCTGGCACAGGGACGACAGTGCTGAGCACAAATGCAACATGGCCCAACTTTGCTTTAGTAGACTCTCTGCTGTGTTATGCATACACTCTGGAGAATGGCTAAGAACAGGACAGGGAACAATGCTCCAGGTGAAGGTAGCTAGGGTCAGAGATGGGCCTAGGGTCAGAGATGGACATGAGGAACAGTGGCTTCACTATGGATATAGTTTGAAGGTTGAGTCATCCATACCAAGCATGTAGTAGGTACTAAATAAACACTTGTTTAACAAGCATAAAAGACATTCATTCATCCTATTGGTTTCATTTTGTAGTTCCCAAACAAAACAAATATATACCACTTATTTCCTCAACTCCTAAAGCAAAAATTCTTTGTTTGACATTTTATTCTCTCTTTATTTCCCTCTGCTGCTTGGTGTCCCTCTAAGTCTTGTCTTGGTGAGGATCCAGGAACCACCCAGGTGTCCTCAAAATGGCCATTGTGACTCCAAGTCCAAAACCACAGGAGGAATCTGGAATATCATGCATGCCTATTTTCTCTTCCAATTTCCCTATCTACCATTAAAAGTAAACTAGGGGATAGGAACTGAGAAAAGCTAAGAAGAGGGGAGAAAGAGTAGGTGGGGTACTCTGGCAAGAGTCCAACTCTCCCACTTTGAGGAGATTCCAGGTGATACCTTTCTGTCTTATGGTTGGTAGAAAAGAAGGTAAGGCCCACTGGACTCAGAATAGAAATGAGTACCAATGGGCTGGACAGGGTGTCTCACGCCTGTAATCCCAACCCTTTGGGAGGCTGAGGTGGGAGGATTGCTTGATCCGAGGAGATTTGAGACCAGCCTGGGCAACAAGACTTCATACCAAAAAAATAATGTTTAAAAAAAGAAATGAGGCCGGACTCGTGGCTCAGCCTGTAATCCCAGTGCTTTGGGAGGCTGAGGTGAGTGAATTGCCTGAGCCCGCGGGTTCGAGACCCGCCTGGGCAACTTGGCAAGACGTCATCTCAACAATAAATCAAAAAAATTAGCTGGGCGTGGTAGCGCGCACCTGTAGTTCCAGCTACTTGGAAGGCTGAGGCGGAAGGATCGCCGGAGCCCAGCAGGTCGAGGCTGTGGTGGCCGGGAGCGTGCCACTGCACTCCAGTCTGGGTGACGGAGTGAGACTTCAACTCAAAAAAAAATTTGAAAAAAGGAATGAGTACCAATGGCCAGATGGCCTTCCAAGGCAATAAAAGAACTAAGTTCAAAATGGAATGGCTTTAAAAAGAGTGTATGATGGTAGTCATAGAGAGGCCGTTTATGTGCTCAATACATTAGGAACTGCCTCTATTTTAAGCCTGAGTTAATATTATAAACTTCAGTCCCCTTTAGGCATTCATTCCACACATATTTATTGAATGCCTATGAGAAAGGGGACAAGGATAAACAAGATAGAATGCCTGTGAGGACCTCACAGTATGATGGGGAAGATGGAAGGGTAAACAAGCATAAGTAACATAGTGCTAGGAAGGGGTTAAAGCAAGGAGAAAATAAAGCAGGAGAAGGAAAAAGAAAGCAATGGGTGTGGAGGCTATTTTAGATTAGAAAAGCCTTCTCTGATGAGGTAACATCTGAGCTGAGAGAAACAGAAAATAATCCATGGAAGGTCATTCTAGGTACAGAGACAAATGTAGGGTATTTGAGAGACTAGGCAGTCTTTGTGGCTCCAGTGCAGTGAGCAGAGCTGAGAACAGAAGGAGGTGAGATCAGAGACATGGCAAATGTCAAATGGTACAGGCTACCCTTAGGAAATCAGAGTTTATTCTAATTGCATTGGGAAGCCAGCTGGTAAGTCTTGAGCCGGGAGTAACATGATCAGATTGATGTTTTTAAAACATCACTGTCTGGGAGAAGGAGAACCAACTGTGAGCAGATGCTGCAATCACACAGACTAGAGAGAACGGGGCTTTGATTCAGAGGGGGAGCAGGAAAAATATTCTATTCAGAATATGTTTTGAAGGTAGAGCTAGCAAGACTGGCTTAAGCATTAGGTGCAGATTGTAAGAGCAGACAAGGATGAGCCCTAGGTTTTGGGCTTCAGGGTCTGAGTGAATGGTGGGATCACAAACTAAGTGACTGGCTTGAAAGAGGAGTGGGCTGGGGTGGGCCAAGTTGGGAAGCAAACGAAGAATTCTGTATCAGACACGTTCAGTCTGACAAGACTTTTAGAGATGGCAAGTGTGTCATTGGACCTTGAGCTTAAAGGGAAAGACCCACATTTGGAAGGCATCAGTGCATAGATGGGTATTTAAGATGACGAAAATAGATGTGGTTTGTACCCTGGATAATTCAGATGAGAATAGTCATTTATCTACATACATCATTAAAATCAATTGTACCACTTAAAGCATGACAGGAACCTACAAGGAACAGAGACAACAATGCCAACTCGCCTTTAGCACCAGCTGATGACTTTGCAATCCAAACGTTGCCCTCTCCATCGTCTTTCTTTCTGTTATAAGAAGCCAGGAAGAATTCTCGTTCATCTGTCCTGGTGTTATTGACTGGTGGCTGGATTCCATTCTGTGCTGGAGCAACTGGGGTCTTGAGATTAGTTGGATAAATCACATAGGACTCAGGGAACCACGTGTAGGACTCAGCCAGTTCTGGGCTTGTCTTGATTAGCCTGGTAGATGACAGAAGAGGGTCAGTCTCTTTTCTTAGCACACTCTGTCACTCCCTTCAGAGAGGCCACTGCTTTTCCCCAGAGTGTTTCAGGGAGGCAAGGCATGACCCAGTCTCCTTCTAACCCTTTTATTTGCTCTTGGCTTCCCTGGACAGACCTCTAATACACTATGGGGCAGCACATAACTGTTAGATAAAACTTTAAAGGCACTCCCCGTTAATTCAAAGCCCAGAACTGCCATTGGTTCACAGACTGGGTTTTGTAGGTGAATCTTAACACAAGCTTGACACAAACAGTTCTGTTCTGGACAAAAGAGGGAGCACAGCTTGGGGGTCCTGCACATGTCTGTGGGTAGGTACCTCCCTGGCTGTGATCCCTGGGGATAAAGGGTAAGTTGAGAGTTAAGACTTGGGTTTTTTTTTTTTTTTAAGTGCATCTGTAAGGAAACTCAGCTTGACGTTATCCTGAGCCTATACCTTTCCAACAAATAAGCTGTGGTTGAGCCAGACCCACACTAAATAATGAACTGAGGAATGGAGGAAAAGTGAATTAGCAAAAATACTATCTTGGCTCAACTCTCTGAGGGAGAAAAGACTACATAGGAAACTAAATTCTCCAAAGACTTTTTTTTTTAGTCCTTCATTCTTGCTTTTAGCTCAGCCTGGCTTCAGTGACAGAAAAAAGAAGGAATCTTTCTTTTAATGGGACACAGAACAGTAGTGGACATAATGAAGCCTATCTCCTGCTCCCAAAATAACACAACACCACCAAAGATAAAGGCAGACCTGGGCAAGGCGCACAACAAACACAAAGGCTTCTCAAGGGCTTCTTATAGCATCTATTCTCCAGCCCCGCCCCCCCCAGCCAACCCTCCCAGCTAAGGACATTAACATCTCAAAAATGAGGAACTGGGTCACATATAAGTAACCCCCCAAGATCATAAAGATAGTAAGTACCAGTCAGGATGCAAACCCCAATTCTTAACTCTAAACTTACCCTTTATCCCCAGGGATCAGAACCAGGGAGGAACCTACCCACAGACATGTGCAGGCCCCCCAAGCTGTGCTCCCTCTTTTGTCCAGAACAGAACTGTTTGTGTCAAGCTTGTGTTAAGATTTACCTACAAAAACCAGTCTGTGAACTGATGGCAGAAATAATTAAAATAAATGTTACACTGGGATGAAAAATAATGCTATTTTAAAGTCAAAGGCAGCCTGGCATGGTGGTTCATGCCTGCAATCCTAGCAATTTGGGAAGCTGAAGTCGGAGGACTGCTCGAGCCCAGGAGTTTGAGACCAGCCTAGGCAACACAACTAGATCTAGTCTCTACCAAAAAAATCCAAAAATTAGCCAGGTGTGGTGGTGCCTGTAATCCCAACTACTCAGAAGGCTGAGGCAGGAGGGCTGCCTGAACCCAGGAGGTCAAGGCTGCAGTGAGCTGTAATTGTGCCACTGCACCTCAGCCTGGGCAACAGAGCGAGACCCTGCATCAAAAAAATAAAAAATAAATTAAATAAAACAAAAAAACGTCTAATGTACTGTAAAACATTTTCTTATTAAGCATGATTTTTTTTTTTTTTTTTTTTGGGAGAGGGTAGGATAACATTTCATTTCACTGTTGTACTGCAGTGTGCACATCAGGCCCATGTGTCATTTCTAGTATCACACACAAACACATCATTATTCTATTAAGGGACAATTGAGAATTCAGTTCAAGTGGTTTCTTTCTGAGCACTGATGAAACATTATGATATGCTTACTATGCAGAGACCATGAGTTACAATGCTAGCTAGCTATGTACATCAATGGAGGTGAAATATGATTATTTTTCTAGTTAAAAAAATAAGAATGGATAAATTTTAATGCAAAGAAAGACTACTGATGTAGAACTGAGTAGGGACACAGAAGTTAGAACTACAACCAGGACAGTAAGAAAACAAAAAAAAAAAAACTGGGACCAGGCGCGGTGGCTCATGCCTATAATCCCAGTACTTTGGGAGGCTGAGGTGAGAGGACTGTCTGAGCCCACAGGTTCGAGACCAGCCTGGGCAACTTGGCGAGACCTCATCTCTACAATAAATCAAGAAAAATTAGCTGGGCATGATAGTGCATGCCTGTAGTTCCAGCTACTTGGAAGGCTGAGGTGGAAGGATCTCCTGAGCCCAGCGAGGCTGTGGTGACCATGAGCGTGCCACTGCACTCCAGCCTGGGTGACAGGTGAGACTCTGACTCAAAAAAAAGAACTGGAAGAAGGCATGTCACAGATTTACAAAGAAAGACAGCTGAAGTACGCTGTGGCAAAGGAAAGTGAAAAAGCAGTTTGTCTTTCAAAAAATTCCTCAAAAGGAGATATTTGCAGCAAATACAGCATAATTTTTTTATTTTTTTTTATTTTTATTTTTTTTGAGTCAGAGTCTCACTCTGGAACACAGGGGCATGAACATAGCTCATCCCAGCTTCCACCTCCTGGGGAATCCTCGAGTGATTCTCCTGCCTCGGTCTCCTGAGTATCAACATGCCCAGCTAATTTTTGGACTTTTTTTGTAGAGACAAGATCTTGCTATGCTGCCCATGCTGGTCTTGAACTCCTAGGCTCACACAGTCCTCTTACCTTGGTCTCTCAAAATGCTGGCATTACAGGCATGAGTCACCACACCTGGCCCATAATAAATTTAATAACATTTCCTCTCAACGGTCAAAAGAGAATCATTGAATTAACTGTCTGAAATCAAAATTAAATATCCAACAAAAGATAAAAAAGCAAATTTGTAACAGGATATGAGCTTATAACTTTGGTCAACTATAAAATGATTTGTATTCCTACACAAAAAGAAAACCATTCCAGATGCAAAAATAGTAAAAGAAACTATTTTAAGGAAAAGGCTTTAAAAGATATTTTACAAAAGTAAACAATCTTCAGTTATGTCTCAATTGCCCACAGACTACGAAACCCTTCTAACACTATCAAAGACTAACTCAAAATTTGGAAAAACATGAAGTATTTTTCTTTAGCTTCAGATGAATTGTGTAACATAAGAGATGTGCCCAATTCAGACTTTGGGGATGTTTTGTCTCAAAGAATTTCCAAATATATGAAAAAATGTCATCAAATTGCTGTTAAAAAAAAAAAATCAAACTCCTGGTGTTGATATTTTTGAGTCTCATATCTGTCGAAGAATTTCTCCTACATGTAAAAAATTACCTTCTATTATGACAAACAAGACTTTAGCTAAGTTATATTAAAATATGGATTTACTAAGACTTTAATGGACTAATGTTTCCTTTATTACTTCATTCTACTGTATGATACATCTTAGAAACATGTGCTTCACTGCACTGTATGATACTTATTGAAACAACCATGTGTGCTCAGTTTCTGAAGCTGACTATGAAAATGTCATGGATACAGTTGTTGAAATAGTTTTGTAGGTACATACTATTGCAAATGCTATAATGATTTGCCAGTTCATGGAACTGTTGAAAGAAACAGAAGACAATGAATTTAATGATACTGTGTTCTTTGCCAGCAGTCACTGATTGAGAGATGGGAGAGCATTATAAATATTTACTTTGTAACTCCGATTCCAATTTTATTGAAAATAAAAGGAATGTCTGTCAAATTCATTATTTGACAATTTATTATTTCATTCAATAATCAAAGAACAAAAAAATGGCATTGCTAATTACATTTTCTCACCTATACCTAAGCTTCATGAGGACAAGCTAAATGTAAAGCTCCAAGGAAGGCAAAAGAAGACCTTATTTATTATCTAGCCAAACAGACATAAGAATTTATGTTCCAACTTAATAATATAAGTCTACAATAACAATTTCAAATATTTATATAACATGTCTCAGCATGTTGAAGATTTTAATTTTAATAGACAACATTAAGAAAACTGGCAGTTTTCTAAAACTAAAAGAAATCGAAAGAACATTTTGTTGCTATTGATAGAGTTACCTATCAATATGTCCACTATCTCTTTCTTTGAATTTGATATTAATAACACTGAGTTGACACAAGAGTTGGTGAATTTACCTAATTGGACAGACACGGTTTAGAAAATGATATTCTTTTGCTTCGTAGCCAAATCCATTCTTCTATAAAAGATGAACTAGATTGTCAATGAGTGTTTGAATGTCAAAGAAAATAGATTTTTTGGAGCGCTCAAAGTTACTGAAAAACTTTTATTCATATGAAAACAACTTGGGTATGAAAATCTACTTCTTCAACCACACATTTCTATGAAATTTCAATTCAGATCAAGGGATTCCAATGGAAATTTAGTGTTTGAATTAGGATGTACTACAACTATAAAACTCACATCAGATTCTGAAGACTCAAAATGAAGAAAAAGTAAAATATCATATTAATAGCTTTTTATATTAGTTACATATCAACATGACAACATTTAAAATTTATTTTGTTAAACAAAATAGATTATGATTTAATTGCACCTGTTTCTTTGCACATATTTTAATGTGGCTACTAGGAAGTTTCAAGTTGCACGTGTGATTAGCATTCTATTTCTTTTTTTTTTTGAGTCAGAGTCTCACTCTGTCACCCAGGCTGGAGTGTGGTGGCATGCTCACTGTCACCGTTGCCCCGACCTGCTGGGCTCAGATGATCCTTCTACCTCAGCATTCCAAGCAGCTACAGGCATGCACCATCAGGCCTGGCTAATTTTTCTTGATTTGTTGTAGAGATGACGTCTCGCCAAGTTGCCCAGGCTGGTCTCGAACCCGTAAGGCTCAGGCTGTCCTCTCACCTTGGCCTCCCAAAGTGCTGGAATTATAGGAGTAAGCCACCACGCCCGGCCTAGCATCCTATTTCTGTTGGACAGTGTTGATCTGTATGATAATCCTAGTTGGAAGCCCTAATTTCCTGTATAGAACCAAGGCCAGGCTCTGCAGGAAGTCCTCTACATTTGTTCCAGCTCCTCGTCAGCCCATTTGGGCAGTAGCCACGGATGTAGATTCACTCACATCTATATGGGAGTAATGCTCAGGAGAGGAAAAGGAAGCCTCCTATCTATATGTGCCCAGAGGAAAAAAGTTCCTCAGGTCTCTGAGACCAAGGCCTCAGGGCTTTGATGCACTTCTGAAACTCCCTGAAGCACAGGAAGAAGGACCTGGCTGTACAGGAGCCAACATAAAACCTCACAGAGGCTGTGGGAAGCCTCCTGAGGGTGCCCAGTCATGACATCCAAGGGGCCCCTAGTTTGGACTTACTAGTTTAACTGTCCTGGTTCAGCAGGAACTACCGTGGTCATGGGCAACCTGGCTGTCCTCTCTGAACCATCATTGTGTCCTATAAAATGAGGAAGATTACATTTCTAACTCTCTGGAGTCAAGTCATGCAAAACCCCGGGAGAGAGACCAATGGACAAATGGAACTGCCATATCCTGGAATTACAACAGCTCCTCACAGGACACATGAGAGAAAGAAGGAAGCTGATGAGGACGATGACAACTTTCAGCCTTCATATGTCAGGTCACCAGTTACGAGGTGCCATCACAGATCACGCTGCACACCTCTGAGGAGCAAAGAGTAAGCACTGTCCCCACCATCCACCCCCATCTTACAGATGGACACTGGAATTCAGAATGTCCAAGTCACAGACATCTACTGTGACCTGGTCATGACCTGTGGTCACGCTGCCTCACTATAACTGCTAAATATGCAAATATGGAGACCACTATTCTTTTTTTTTTTTTTAGTTGAGTCTCATTCGGTCATCCAAACTGGAGGGCAGTGACACACTCCTGGCCACCGCAATCTCAACCTGCTGGGCTCAGGCAATCCTTCCACCTCAGCCTTCCAAGTAGCTGGAATTACAGGCATGTACCACCATGCCTGGCTAATTATTTTTTCTGATTTATTGTAGAGATGAGGTCGTGCGAAGTTTCCCAGGCTGGTCTCGAACCTGCGGGCTCAGGCAATCCTCTCACCTTGGCCTCCCAAAGTGCTGGGATTATAAGCGTCAGCCACCGCACCCAGTCAAAGACCACTATTCCTTATAGCATCCTCTGCTTTCTATTTATAAAAGCAATCTTCTACCTTTATCCTTAGGGAGGAAAAATCATAGCAGAAAAGATTAAATAAACATTTTATAAAAATTTTTAGATGAATAATCTGGATAAACATGTCCCACTTCTGATTCTATTGAAACAGTCATCTGCATTCTAAATATATACATATGTAACAAGAAGACTTCAGGAGTGGGTGAAGAGTCACGAAAACCCCTCACAGAGAGGAGTGGGTGCATAAGGTACCAGGGCCAGCGAGTGTGAACAGAAAGTGGAAATGTTCCTGTGAACATTCAATCTAGTAGTAGCTCTAGTCCAGAAAGACAGGTTAGTGGGAAAAAGAATTTTGCATTGAGTCCTATCTTCCAGTGCCTTCTTACCTTACTGATCTGATGGCTACACAGGTATGTTCACTAGTTATCATGGAAATAATACTGAAGACCTACTATAGCCCTGACTATAGAGGCCATACCCAGTGTCTTCCTACTGAAATGACGACAATAATAGCAATGTCAACCATAATACTAGTAATTATAATAAGGAGAGCTTTCACTTACAGAGTGCAAACCATAGACAGGTATTAATCAAAACCTTTACCTAAATGAATTCAATTAACCCTCATAACAACCCTGAGGTAGTTACAATTAGTATCCCCATCTTACAGGGCAGAAAATTAAGGCACAAATATTCATTATGTACCAGGCTACTGTGCTACAAACACTTTAATTTAATCCTTATAACAGCCTTCCGAGGGAGGTCCTGAGCTTAGGGATAAGGAGATTTGCCCAGGCTAGTAAGAAGAGCTGAAGTTAAAACCCAAACTTTTGACCCTAGATTTTAATCACTGTATAATAGTGTCTCCTTCTACTTCATGACACTCTTGAGATACCTAGCTATAATCCAGCTGCTCACAGACAGGCAATGGCATGGATGCTGTTATACCTGTCCAGATATCCTGAGGAACCCTTACGGCTGTGAGAGACAGTTGCTAAGGGTTTACACACATCCTTCTTCAGGGCCCAGCCAGAAATGCCTTAGAAATGAAGTCCTCTACCACTCTCCACAGCCAATGGCTGACTGAGACTGGTCCCCTTGCCTCCAGATGCACAACTCTGAGGTGTCATTCACCCCAAGAGCTCCAAGGGGGCAGGCTGAGGCAAGACTTCAGCTGAAACCAACTCTTTGCTGGGTTCTGCCCCATCCTGCCCTTGCTTCCTGATGGGTTTCCCTTGAGAGCAACTTCCCCAAGAAATCACTCACACAAGAAACCCTGAGTCAGTCTCTATATCTGAGGAACCTCCCCTAAGAAACAGACAGGCTTTACCACACAGTATGTTCTGGAATGCAATCAAAGCAGCTTAGAAGAAGCTTCAGAACTGATATTTATGGGCTTTTAAAATAATAGTACTTTTGCCCTTCAAATCGCCCCCACATTTCTGCTTAAGTGCTTCATTTATGTAAAATATGGAAAACGCAGGTCTTACAGAGCACTTACTTCACTAAAGACGCTTTGCGACAGAGTTTGTCAGCCCCCCTGTAGTAATTCACCAACTGCACCAGCCCGGGCTCATGACCTAGGAAGGAAAGAGGAGGCTCAGAAGGGGAACATGACAGGTGGGGAACAGCAATGTCAGCACCAGCACGCAGGAGAGAGAACAGCTGTGTCACGCCCAGCTTTTCTTTCTCTCATTTCAGGACTGATCATAGAAAATGGAACCATTTGTTTCTCTGTTCCCTTTCCCCGAGGCCCCTCTTTCTCTCTGTCTCCCAATGGTAGCTCTTACTCTCCCCACAGTTTCATCAACAATGGGGGTTTACCAGAGACCACTGCTACCTTTGTCTTTTCTTGTTAGGGTAGAATGTACTCAGGGTATTTTCCATTTCACTTCTCTCTGATGCACATAACGGTCTCTCTTGGCTTCACACATACAAACTTGTAATCTCCGTACCATAAGGCCACTTTAACAGCCCCACCCTGCCTTCCTGCAGCCACCAAGAAGGCAGTGGAACTATAATGCTGCTGGTCACAAGCATGTCCACCTCTGCAATCCTCTCGGAGAGCCACTAGAAGGTGAAGGAAGTGGTGGAGAAGCCAAGTCTATAAAATCAGAAGCCCTGAGAACTTTCTTCTGTACGTCATCCCATAGGAATATTCATTTTCAGCAGTTCTTATGACATGCCCCTTTCACCATAAAATTAGAGCAGAAAGGATACAAGGAAAAACAAATTTTTATTTACAATAGAAAACGTTTTGTTTACAATCCCAATAAAAGGCACTGCATTTCCAATAACAAATCTGGCTGGGCATGGTGGCTCATGACTGCAACCCTAGCACTTTGGGAGGTTGAAGCAGGAGCATCACTTGAGCTTAGGAGTTCGAAACAAGCTTGGAAAACATAGTGAAACCCTGTCTCTATAAAAAATAAAAATAAAAGGATCAGCCAGTTGTGGTGGAGCACACATGGAGTCCCAACTACTCAGGAGGCTGAGGCAGGAGGATCACTTGAGCCCAGCAGTTCAAGGCTGCAATGAACTATGATCACACCATCGCACTCCCGCCTAGGTGACAGAGCAAGGCCCTGTCTCAAAAACAACAACAACAACGACAACAACAAACACCAAAAACAAAGTAAGACCAAATAAAGGAGTTTTGAGTTGAAGATGACAGAGGTAAGAGTAATTCATCTGAGAATGACATACAATCAAATGAAAAGTTTCAAGTAAGCATTAACTGGCTCTCACTGGCTCCCTGGGGCAGACAGACCTGATTGCCACCTGAACTGCCTACCTCCTTCTCCCCAGGGCACCAGCATTCCTGAGCCTTTACCTGGCCCTATAGGCCTTCTCCTTGGGTTTCACACAGTGAACTTTAAGCCTCACGGTAATGGCATATAGCCATTTTTGGTTGTGAGATGTATTTTCTTGCTCATAAAGCCCAACTGTTGCCTGATAATCGGCTGAATGGGTGGCACCTGTCTAGGATTCACGCCCTGTAGGCTTCTGCTTCTCAAGCCTAGGCTTGAGCACCACAGCATTGCCAATCACCCCCGCCTCCACCTGGGTGGAGCCATTTCTGTCTGTTTTTAATGTTAGGATTCTAAGTCTTTGGAGTCAGGCGCTAAGAGGAGAGAAGTCAGAAAGGAAAATGGACAGTGCAAGGAGGAAATAACTGTTCTTAACTCAAGCAGTTTTTCCTTTTCGTTCAGGAAAGGTTTTCTCTTTGCTGAGGGCTTCCTGAGACAGTTTAACAAAAGTAAATCTCCAGCCACGTTCCTCATATTCTGAGATTTCTGAGACTAGAATCAGCCCTTCCATGGAGGCACCATTCTACATCATAAACTTGTATAACAGTGAAAAGTTGTTCCAGGTATTTTTAAAAATTCAGCAAGATTACCCAGCAAAAAACCTTCATTCCTGAAACCGTCACGGTGCTTTACACAGCCCCCACTCAAATGCTCTCCTGAGCTCGCCAATGGCCAGTTGATTCCAAATAGCCTATTTTCGGTACTTGCCCATTCAACCTCTGACCACACCTATTTCTAAAGACTGTCTCTTCGCCTGGACATAAACATTGCTCTCTTTGGATTGTCTCCCAAGGCAGAGATGACTCTTCATATCAATTCTCCCCTTCTGTCCTTGGAATACAACTGGCCCCCATCCCTGGTGACTTTGGGCAAGGAACATGACTCGCAGGGTGAGGCTGCACTCCCAGCTGACTGAACAGTCAGGGGAGGCCCTGAGACCACGCTCATGTCCACGGGATGTGAGTTGAACGGATCCTGTCAACTTCTGGATGACATCATTTAAAAAGGAGCCGCCGGTCCTCTCCTTTCTCCTGACCCAGCCTAGCGGCGGGTGTGTGGTTTCGGTGGTGCCGAGCCAGCCTCAACCATGTGAATGAAGGTTACTCCCTTGGGGAGAGTAGGGCAGAGACAGAGGGCGAACCCAGCCTTCCCTAAACCGTTATCCAAAGCACCATTGCGAAAACACGTTCTTTGGCGAAACTAAAGAAAGGTCTCAAAACGGACACCCCTTCGCCTTTCCCCGGACTAGGGTCCCTTCTGAAGGTCCTGCTTGTGGAATCCAGAGGCCCTTTCCAAATCCCCCGAACCTTCGGGTGACAATCCTCAGGGGCGTCCAGCCTCCCAGCTCCCCCTCCCGCGCCCACACCAAGCAGTGCAGAGAAGCTGCAAGATGACTCCGGCCGGATGTCAGTCGCGGGCTCTGCGGATCCGCCCGGCCCGCCCGAAGCGGGGACGTCGGGCCGGGGACACGCGCGGCTCAGGTCCCACCCCTGGCGGCCAAGGTCCCCTGGCCTGCAGACTGGGGCATTGTCAGGAGGCAGCCGCGACCCCGGGTGGCCGCACCGCGACTCCGGCTCCGAACCCGACTCAGGAGCCGGGAAGGCAAGAAAAACGACAGGATGAGATCTTCAAGGAGCCCTTCTGGATCTGCCGGAGAAGCGACGGAGGAGAAGATTGATGACCTTAAACACAAAAGCGCTAGCTCTAGCGCGCCGTGGGAGGAGCGGAGGGCCGCTCGGGCGCGGGGAGGCGGGAAAGGGGAAGGGCTCACCCAGTCTCCCGAAGGGCAGCCGGTTCCTCTCCCCCAGCATCAGGTTG